AAAGACTCTTCATCTTCCAATGGAGAGTTATCTTCCTCTTCCAATCCAGTTTCAAAAAGGTCTTCATCCATAAGACAGCCACTATCAGTAAATGGCTGTTTCACATCTTCTTCCTGGATAATGCATAATAAAGAAAAAGAAAAATCCAATCATTTCAAAATCCAATATTTCACAACAACATAAGGTCATTTGCATCAGGCCAGAAAAAGCAGATGTTTCATCAACAGGCAAATAAATGACACTCTAGAACAGCCTCACTGGTTCCTAACCCACAGTCATTCCTTGAAGTCCATGCTGTGATTTTATGCCAACTGTCTAAAACTAACTTTTAAAAAACCGTAAATATTTTTGAAGTCAATAAATACTTATTAAACACACTAACTTATAAAACTTATGATTTTTCTAGTTAGCAAGCAAGATTTCTGACTGATAAACACATGAAAAATTCTTCTATGAAAGTTGAATTTCATCCAGATCAGAAGCAGCAAAGAATTACCCCATGTGCTCACAAAGAAAATCAGAAACCCATTTATTTGAAAGTGTCCTCCATATATCTGAAACGGAGAATGAGACCAAGTTTTAAATCACATACCTCATTACTAGCAATGCAAAAACAACCAACTCAAAGCTATATTCGGAGTGCAAAAAAAACCTTCAAGAACTAAAAACAACCTTTTCCAAGATGTTAATCTGCATTAGAAATAGCAAATTGTTTTTTAAAATGTACCTCCTTTTTTGCTTCCTTCTCTTTTAGGCGCCTGATTTTTTCCATCTTTCTTTCCTCTTTCTCAAGTCTTCTCTTTGATTTTACTTTTGCTTTTCCTCCAGTTCCTTCTTTATCACGTATAGGTTTTTTGAAAATCTTTCTGCCAGCTGTACAGTCCACAGAGTTTTCAGACTGGAGACCCAGCTCTAACAAAGACGTCACTTGGGTTTCAAGATTTTCCTGGTACAAAGGGTCCTCCTCGATGTCACTTTCATCACTGTCTGCCAGAGTTTTGTAAATCCTTCTGACTTTCCCATTTTTTCCAGCATATAAGTTCTCTTTATTTTCCTCTTCAACACTGTCATAGGTAGTTTTCTTAGGAGAGGCATTTGGTTCCTCTTTTTCAGAATCACTGTCTTGTAACGCCTTCCTACTTTTCGATTTCTTACTCACAAATATCTCTTCATCTGAATCTGAAGGAAACACAACTTTTTTTTAGAGGTCTGCTGTCATATGGCCTTTCTCCTAAACCTATTCAATCATCCAAAAACATATCCAATTATCCTAGTGATATATCACCTTGCAAAATTATGTAACTACCACTAAGAACTGATTGTAGCAAAGCAAATCTAAAAATACATTTGAAAAACATTTTCCCTGGAAAAATGTCTCATTGCGAAACATAATTATGTATCTTTACAACTGGAAATGTTGTTCTAATCATTCTGGCAGGTGTTAAAAATTCTTTTATTATAGGATGAATGCATTCAACCAGGCAATGTGGTAGCTTCTCGACATTTTATATATTCAATAACAGAAATAATTATTCTCAAAAGGGTACAAGCACTATTATTTTGCTTTTATAATAAACAAAACAAGCAATAAAGTTGGGCATTAATAACTTATAAATCAAAAGAATAATGAAATTAACCCAATCCGCTTACAACCCAAGCCCCCACCATTATATTCCTAAAAATAAAAGTACTATCACAAACCTTGTTCACTCAACAGCCCAGTTGTTTCACAGCTGTCCTGTCCACTGTCTGAAGGACTATCTGCTTCTTCTTGTGAAAGGAGTTTTAAATCATCGATTTCTAGGTGAACCTAGAAAATGAGAATATACTTTGCATTAACCAGCAGGTGACAGAAAGCTCTAAGTACATTATGATAAACAAATCAGTACGGGACCATCAGGCTGAAATAAGAAAAAACACACACAACTCAATGGTTCAATTAAGGGGTGACATTAAGAATTACTGAGCAGCCCAGCCAGTGCAGCTCAGTGGTTGAGCATCCCCCTATGAACCAGGAGGTCACGGTTCGATTTCCAGTCAGGGCACATGCCCGAGTTGTGGGCTCCGTTCCCAGCAGGGGGCGTGTAGGAGGCAGCCTATCAATGGCTCTCTGTCATCATCGATGTTTCTATCTCTTGCTCCCTCTCCCTTCCTCTCTCTGAAATCAATAAAAACATATTTAAAAAAAAAAGAATAATCGGACAAAAAAACAAACGAACAATCATTGTTTGCCTTTAAAGAATTCTATAGAATCACCTCTTTATATCGAGCACAGTAGTTCCCCCTTATCCATAATTTTAGTTACTCGTGGTCAACTGCGGTTAGAAAATATTTAATGGAAAATTCCAGAAATAAACAATTCGTAAGTTTTAAATTGTATGCCATTCTGAACAGTACGATGAAATCTCCCATCATCAAACTTTGTCCCACACAGTTCATGAAACATCCTTTGTCCAGTGTATCCATGTGTATATACTATCCACCTGTTAGTCACTTAGTAGCCACCTCAATTATCAGATCTCTGTCATGGTACCACAGTGCTTATGTTCAAGTAATCCTTATTTTACTTAATAATAGCACAGTAGTGATGCTGGCAATTCAGATATGCCAAAGAGGAGCTGGCTCGTAAAGTGCTTCCTGCAAGTGAAAAGGTGAAAGTTCTTAGCTTAATAAGGAGAAAGAAGGAGAAAAAAAAAATCATATACTGAGGTTGCTAAGATCTACAGTAAGAATAAATCTTCTATGTGTGAAATTGTAAAGGAAAAAGGAATTCATGTTAGTTTTGCTGTCACACCTCAAATCGCAAATTACAGCCACAGCATGATAAATACTTAATTAAGATGGAAAAAGCATTAAATTTGTGGGTGAAAGACATGAACAGAAAATGTGTTCCGATTGACAGCAACATGTGCCAGAAAGCATTGAGCCTATACAGAGACTTCAGCAAGAGATCCCCTGAAACAAGTGACACCAAGTCATTTATTGCAATATAACCAGGGGTGGTTAAGTAAGATATTTTGAGACACCACACTCACATAACTTTTACTACAGTATATTGTAATAATTGTTCTATTTTACTATTAGTTATTATTGTTAATTCTTACTGTGTCTAATATATAAATTAAACTTTATCATAGGTATTTATAGGAGAAAACAGTATATATAAGGTTAGGTACTATCTGCAGTTTCAAGCATCCATTGCGGGGTATTGGAACTTATCCCCTGTAGATAAGAAGGGACTTCTGTAATGGTAAATGAAAAGAATCAAGCATTTATTATGCTTTTTCTGTGTGAACTGTTCTCCGTTTATCCAAATGACATGTTAAACAACATCATAGAAATGCAATCCAGGTGTCGGATATGTTATATAAGACAAACTATGTGGTTTCTTTTTTTATTATTGAACTTATCAGGGTGACATCGGTTAATAAAATTATATGTTTCAAGTGTACAATTCTATAAAACATCATCTGTATATTGTATTGTGTGTTCACTACCCAAAGTCAAGTCTCCTTTTGTCACCATTTAACCCCTTTTCCCTCTTCTACCTGGCCCCACCCAATAATTTGAAGAAAACAAGAGAGGGAAGGGGACCTATAAAGAGTTAAGGTAGCCCAGCTGGATGTGGCTCAGTGGTGGAGCATCGACCTAGGATCCAGGAGAGGGGGTTCGATTCCCGGTCAGGGCACATGCCCGGGTTGCAGCCGATCAATGACGACTCTCTCATCATTGATGCTTCTCTCTCTCTCTCTCTCTCTCCCTCTCTCTCTCTCCCTTGCTCCCTCTGAAATCAATAAAGATATATATATATTTTAAATGTTGCTTTAAAATATCATCTTGATTACTGAGTTTTTTGGCGTCTCACCCTAGTCCCGCCCCCAGAAAGACCACAGGACTGTAAACAGAAGTCTTTTCTATGCCCAGGGCCGCCAGGGACCAGCGAGCCACCACCCGGGAGGCCCCGAGACTGGTACATCCCCTCTCGGGACCCCACGCGAAGACCTCAAAGGCCCCTTCCAGGCCCAATTGCGAACCCCCTTAGACCCCGCCGTCCATTTACAGAGAATCCTGCCCCGCATCCCAGCCGCCGGGTTCGGCTCGGGCCTTCCTCTTCGGGACGCTGTAGGGGGAAAAACACCCAACGCAGGAAACGCGCCAACGGGGAGGGAGGGCGGGACGTGCTGAGGAGGCGCAGCGCGGCCGGCTGCGCGCGCCGCGAAGGGCAGGAGCGACACGGACGAGGGGACTGAGGCTCGGGAACCTCCGCGCCAGGTCTGGACCGCGAGGTCCAGGGGCCGACGGAGGCGGCGAGGGGCGTCTATCCCTCCGGGCAGCGAAACCGAGACGCCCGGTGCACGCCGGGAATTGTAGTCCTCCCAGCCTCCGCGACCAGTTCCGCGGGGCTCGACCCCCGTGCCGCCTCACCCCTTGGCGCCAGCCCTCCGCAGCCGCGGATGGAAACATGTGCATGAACTCACCTCAGAAGCCACTTCGCCCGTCATGACTTCGGCCTCTCCAGCGCTTTTCTCTGGACGAAACAGGTCCCCGGTTCCCTCATCCGCCGCGCAGCTACTCCCGCCGTATTCAGACCCGCAGCGACTTTGGAGCTTTCGCGCCTACCGGGAGGGGCGGTGCTGCCCTTGACGATTTGCACCAATCCCGAGGCGGCTTTCTACTTGAGGCCACGCCCCCCTCCGTTCTGCCAATCACGAAGCGCCTTAGGCCAGTCCCACAAGTGTAATATGCGGGCTGAGTTGGCGGGTCGCGGCCGGTCGCGGCTCCTCTTGTCAACTGAACCTGGAGGAGGCCCGAGTGTTCTGGCCGCTGAGGTGTCGGGCCCTCTGGTCTTGCGAGACTGTACCATTCAAGCGGTGGACTTTTGCCTTTGACGCTCGCCATAGCTGATGGCTCCAACAAGCAGCAATTTGAGGAGTAAATTTCTGCTGCAGGCAGAAAGTAAGCTGGGAGAAGATGCGTGGACGCCCGAGGGCATCCCTGACCTGTACTATAGAGTCCAGGGCACGTGAGGATTTTCTCCAGGACCTCCATCCCTGGGGCAGCTACATCCCACCCGCTCCTTCTTGTACATGGCATTCGTACCAATGAGCACCAAAAAAGAAAAGTTTTGTGGGCTGCTCGGATACTAAAGAATAGCCTCGGATAAACTTTGTAATTCTACTTCAGATTAATTCGAGGATGCAGAAAACACCCACTCATCCCACTCCTAGGCTCTTTGGATAAAACAGGAAAAAGAGTAAAAGGTATGGAACCAGACTAACCCCGGACAATTCTAATCCCTTGTCGCTGTGCTGGTTACTACCTTCATTTCTTCACCCTCTTGCCTGCCCCCACCAACAAGAGCCTACCATCCATTCTCTTCTCTCACATCTCGGCCCACCCACCTTTTCACCCACTCTGCTATTCATTTCTACATGGGCAATTCCCAAATATTCATCTCCAGCACTCCTCCCTTGTATTTGGAGGGCTAATATTTATTTGGGAGTTGCCCTGTGACAGGAACACTTGCAAGAATTTTGCACACATTATTTTATTTACTCTTCAGAGTGACTTTGTAAGGTAAGTAATACTATCTCTGTTTTTAGCAGGTGAGGAAATTAAACCTTTAAAAGGCTAGTAACTGTTGGAGCCAATATTCACACCCTGTTCAATCTGACTGCAGAACTCATACCCCTCAGAAAGACGTTGCCTGAGCACCCTCTACGTTCTCCCTCTGTCCCCTGTTTTGGTTTCCCTGGTCATATTTACCTCTACCTAAAATTTTCTGTTTATATATTGTTGCTCCAAGAAGACAAGCACTCTGTTTTCTTTAACACCATCTCCTCACGATCTGGAATAATCTTTCTCACAGTTGAGCATGCATCAGAATGATGTGAAGGGCTGGTAAAAACAGATTGTTGGACCTCACTCCCAAAGTTTCTGATTCAGTATGTCTCATGTGAGGCCTAAGAATTTGCATTTCTAACAAGTTGCCAGGTGATGCTAATGCTGCTGATATGGAGACCATATTTTGAGAACCACACTTTAGACCACTCCTGGCTCATGGTAGAGAAGTCAATCAATATTTGTTGAACTAATTAATTGTCACTTGTCAACTATATTATTCTTCTTGAAACCCCCTCTGGAAGTGAATATATGAGATAATACTCCTGATATTAGCATTTTCCTCTCTTTACAGAGCACCTCTTCAGTCACCAGAGAAACTGAGAGAGCTCTGATTTAGACAATGGGTGGAAGGGGTGAGCTAAGAAGGGAAACCTTTAATTCTGTATATTAACTTGTGCCGCGCTAAAGGGAATCTGTATTTGGAATGAGCAGTCTGTATTCTCAATTTTGGTGAATGGCACCATAATCCATCATTCACCAACTCAGAAACCTGGGAGTCACCTTGGCTCCTCTCTGTCTCTCCACCCTCAAGGATAATCATTCAAAGAGTTCTGGCAGCAAGGGGAAGATCTGAATGTTTACTCTGCCTGGATAAGCCTGAACTTGATCCATAAATGGTCTTGTGACCTTGGGGAAGTTATTTAGCTTCTCAGAGCCTTGTTTTCTCCATTTGAAATTAGAAAACATTGGATTAGATCATGATTCTCAAAAGGGTTTAATTGGTAGAGTGCCTGGAAATACGGTACTCTTTAGGAAATACTTTGTAGTACTGACACATTTAATCTAGTCATATAAATTAGAAAGCATTTTCACTAGCAGAATCTCTTATTATATCATTCAAAATCAGTATTAAAAAAAGCAATTCTAAAACTACATGTCTATGAAATAATAAGGCATGTAATTTAACATGCTCAGTCCATTCCAAATTTATATTTGCTTGCTGGAAGGTAAACAAAAGCAGATTCCAAAGGCTCACGAAAGTTTGGAGGTAAATCACTGATTAAATCATATCTTTTAGTTGGTCTTTTCTGAACATTGAGAAAGGCTACCATGTTAAATTTTTAGTACTACTACCTCTCTGGAGTAAGGTGTGAGAACCCCTTGCTTTTCTAAAGACCTAGGCCACTAAATCTTCATTTCTAGAGAAGCACTGCCGCCTAGTGGCAGGACTTGGTCGTGTCAGTTCACCTGTCCTAAAACCTTTTTAATTTAAAAATTATTCAGAGTTGTTTAAACTTTCTTTTGGTACAGTGAAATAATTGCATCTCCCAGAATCTGCTTTTAAAATATTCATACTGTAATTCCATACAGTTATAAAGCTTTTTTTGAGAGTGTCCTGCTTGAAGGCCAAGGCTGTTTTTCTTGCTTAATGTAGTACCCACTGATTTTATTTATTTATTTATTTATTTATTTATTTATTTATTTATTTATTTATTTATTTATTTATTTATTTATATATGTCTATTGATTTCAGAGAGTGGAAGGGAGAGAGAGATAGAGATAGGAACATCAATGATGAGTCATTGACTGGCTCCCTCCTGCATGCCCCCTACTGGGGATGGAGCCTGAAACTTGGGTATGTGCTCTGCCCAGGAATGGAACTGTGATCTCCTGAATCATAGGTCGGCAATGCTCAACTGCTGAGCCACTCTGGCCCGGCCCCATTGACCTTTAAAAATGGCACAGGACCCGACACATAGTGGGGTGCTTAATAAATAATTGTGGAATAAATGATTAAAATACCATGGCCTAAGAAACAAAACCAGGAAACACCAGGGCCTTTTGCCAGGGCATGACAGCACACAAACCATCAGCTTCTTATATGCAAAAAGTCTTTTACCACAACTTTCAGCAACCTAAAATACCTTTAAAATATTAATCACTCATTCAAAAAACCTTGAGCACCTATTTTAAGCCTATGTTAGACATGGAAAATATAAAGATAAATAATATAGACTCTTATTCTCAGAGAAGTTTCCATTGCTGGCTGTGGAGACAGGCAAGCAAACAAGCTCGTGCAATAGTGGAAGTATATACAAGTAGCTGTGGGGCCCAGAGAGAGGGGCAACTGGCATTGCCTGGGGTAAGTCAGGAGGAGATGACTCCTCAACTGAGTTTCAAAGATAGATTGGAGTTCTCCAGGCTGGCACAGGGAGGAGAAGGCATTCCAGGTATGTGTAGGGGCTTGATAAAGCATGTTGTATTTGGGGAACTGAAAGTAGGTCAGTATGACTAGAGCATAGGGTATGTGTGTGGGGTGTGTGTGTGTGTGTGTGTGTGTGTGTGTGTGTGCAGTGGAGGTGGGAATGGCCAGAATGAATGCCAAAAGTTAAACAGGGAAGAAAAAATCTAGAATGCTATGCTTAGAATTCAGTTTTTAGACACTATGAACTGGGCAGCTGGGGGGTAGGAGGGTTGTTAAGGAGAGCAACATGGTTAGATATATGTCTGAGAAAGATTATTCTGGTAGCGTCTGAAGGATGGATTTGGAAGGCGATTAGACTGGAGGCGAGAAGACCAGTTGTCTAGGTGGGAGATTATAAGGACCGGAACTAGGTCAATGATAGTAACAATGGAGAGGAGGAGATGGATTGGAAAAGAGAGGCAAAATTAACAGGGCTTGTTGGATGACTAACCTTGAGAGGCAAGAGGTAGTGGATTCAGTGTGACTCTCAGGTCTCTGGACTGGTTGAGTGACAGATTATGGTGCCATTCACCAAAACTGAAAACATAGGCCACTAATTCCAAATATAGACTCACTTTAGCTTGGTCCAAGTTAACACATGGAATAAAAGGTTTTCCCTTCTTAGCTCACCACCCATTGTCCAAATTGGAGGCCTCTCCCT